TTAATTTTTCCGCCTTTAAAAATTCCACGACCTCCGCCGGGTTTGAACCCGCGTACCTTGAGTCATGAGGTGGGAACGTTATCCCTAGACTACGGAGACCGCTTTGCCTAAGGATACCAGAGGACCATCGTGAAACACATCAGGCTAGTGGGTAACCCGACCGACGCAGAAACGTAAACAGAGTCAGCGTTCGTCAGAATAACAACAGGTCGTCTGCCAACCAAGCTTAGATGTGGGCTCAAAATGGTTCCCTGTACTGTTAGACAGGTAATATTCGAATGTGTAATATACATAAGAGTTAAGCTGGGTATTGGTAGAGCGCGGCTGCTGCGCGAGGCAGTGTTCGTTGCTTTGCCTAGCAAAGTCGATAACCATGTTGCCGCGCGCGGCTGAACGAACACTGCCGCACTCAAACTTGGCGCGTGTCGAGCCAAATCGGAGCGGTTCTTTGTCCCGCGGCAAAGGGATTTCAGTGTGCTGTGCTCTTTCAGTTGAGACGGTCTTGTGACATTCCGAGAACTGAGGAACAGCCTCGATTAGCAACCGCAGGTGGCTGCCGCGCTTCGATGCTGGACACGAACACTGTAAACGAACGAGATCGCCCCGCGAAAGTATTCGCACTTGGACCGTCTGGGTGAGATAGTGGTTAACATACTAGTGTAGGGAGTTCCGGAGTTGTTATATGCCGACAGACAGCCAATTCATACTGACAAACATGGGCAGTTCTGCGAGTGCGCGAGGCAATTAATATGAAACCTGTGTCATATCTCCTATTACTTTCGCCCTGATTCAACATGTAACAGCCTAATGGGGACATATTTATGTTCGTTGTTGACTTCAGCCTGAAATGCCAGCAAATCATATTTAAAACCCAAACCCTAATCGCTGTTTATTTTGAAAATCATAAAGACACCATGGGCAAGAGTGCAAAGTTCTTTTAAGGCCATGGCAGATGTTAAACATTGTAACCACTGTGTTGTAAAGGGTTACATATATCGCCCTCAGTTATGCTGTGTTTCTCCAGACAGTTTTCTGTATACAGCTATCGAACGGTATTATCAGCATTAACTAGCTCCGTGGTGCAGAGCCCCTCTTGAGAAGACACGTTCTGCTTACGCTACATGTTAAACGTTTCGTTCGTTTGAACTTACGTAAATAGCATACTGCAGTCACCTGTTCACGGTGGTTCTTCGCCCGCGATACATTCCTCCGAAACGTCGGCTCACACAAGCTCTCTTCACATCCCAGAAGACGGCAGTCTTCATAATCTGAAATGTTAATGAAATATGTATTTGTTGGGACTCGTAGAATTTAATCAGAAATATGTTTTACAGTATCTCGTTTCTGTATTGGTTAACATGAGTTGTTGGGGGAACCCAAATGTTTGTAATCGTTGTCGTGCATGCCGTCTGTCGCCGATATAGTTCCTTCATGCCCGTGTTTATATTCCCCGCCCCTCTGCGCCTTCTATATCTCACACGTGCTATCTTTTCACTCTGCTTACAAGCAAAATTGCAGCTCCAGTATTCTCGACGTATCTGCCTCCATGCTGATCGCCGTCAAATTATATTTTAGAAATTTCTCTTTATGTGAATTTGAGCACTTGTCTGTTAATTCGTCTTATACCATCACATAACGACAGTTTTTTTGTATTGCTAGTGGGGTGGCAGTTTTTTTTGTATTGCTAGTGGGGTGGGACGGCAACCCTTGTACTGCGGCCACTTCTGGCCTATTGTACCAGCCCCAGATGATAGGTGAGGGTGATTGTGGAGCAATTGGTGGAATGAAGATTGGCAAGGAAAACCGAAGTACTCGGAGAAAACCTGCCCCAGTGCCACTTTGTCCACCACAAATCCCACTTGACCAGACCCGGGATTGAACCCGGGCCGCCGCTGTGGGAAGCCAGCGACTACCCGCTTGAGCCATGTTGCGGCCCATAACGACAGTTACAAATACGTGTATAATAGATATCAGTTTTTAAGGGACAGAGTTCTGAGTTCTCGGTGGAAGATAGCCACGGTAAGTCCGTAAAAGATTTCATTCATGTGTAATACTGGGAGCGTGTGATTTGAATTATGTGTAATATTTGGAGTGTGTGAGTCAGTGAGACTGTGCTAGTTTCTGTGTGGAGATCCGTTGCCAGGAGACGACTAGTGAAGACGGAGAATCCTAGTGTGTGTGTGTGTGTGTGTGTGTGTGTGTGTGTCTGTGCGTGTGCGTGTGCGTGCGC